GAAATCTGTGCTGGCCTCGTGTCCCCTGGGGGCTCATGGCTCCTTTACGTTGCTGTGGAGAGCCGTCTTTAGTCCACCTGGTCTCTAAGTTCAGGCGCAACTGGGTTAATACAGCCAATTGTAACAGGCCACTTGTAGAACTAGTTAAACAATGGCAGGAAGGAATTCCACAGTCCTCCCGACTTTTCTAGATGTTTCCAAGGTTGGAGAAAAAGAGTGGTTGTGGAGAAATATGAATTAATAAAGTTAGTGAGACAAAATCTTGAAAGGAAGGTCCTGTTAACAGAAGAAACATTCAAGCCTATAGAGAATTTTGTGAGTTTATTTGAGCCAAACTGTTGACAATTGCCACAAAGCAAAATCTCAATGGGCTGAGATAATGCTCCAGAGATTGGTAGTCCTGCGCCTTATTTTATACATTACAATTAAAAGAGGAGGTGTATGTGGGGTACATGAAATCCATTGGTGATAGATTAAGGAGGCAGGAGAAAGCAAAGCAGGGGTGTGGGGAGGGAGGGAACCTCTGGGATTGGATAAAGAGTAAAATGGTAAGACACATACTTCTTTTAATAGGTGGGTACAGGGGAGGTAATAGTCAGTAATAAACATGATAAAAATAGCAATGGAGGAATTTAGGATCTTTGTCCAGGTGCATTGGTTGTGGTCTGAGGGGTCCAGAAAAAGAGAGTTACCTTGACATTCCAAAAATATGTTATCTTAGATGCAAAAGACAATAGACAGACTCAATTAAGGTAAAGATTGACCTTTGTCAGGGAAGATTCTAGCTTAGAACATGACTATCTGAAATGAAAGCTTTTAACATAAAAGCTCCTCCTTTGTGGTTACTTTAGGTCTCTGAGTTTGAAAAGCCACCACACAGGCCTCTCCTGAGTTAGTCAGGTTAGCATGTGGCCCCTTTTCATCCACAGTTGCTAACCACAGAGGCAGGACACAGAGTCCCTGACTGGGGAGCCACCTTGACTGACCATCACTGTCCTATTGCCCAGACGGGACCCCGGTAAAGGGCAGTGTGAAGGTGAGCTGACCTGCCATCGGATGTGCTCCTGGGAGTGTGTAGATTGAGCACTGGCCCTGCAGAGGGACCCACAGAGCATGAGGAACCAGGCCCTGTTTAGGGGGGAGGAAGAGGGAGATGCTTTCTTTCTAGGCGCCAATGATGGTCCTAGATTAATGAACAAGCTCATCAAGACTTTTAAACATTGGGGCTGCCACTCTGTTTCCATTTCAGATGGTAGTTGAAAATGTCTTCTAGCTCTAACCAGTTGGCTCAGTGGATAGATCGTTGGCCTGAGGACTGAAGGGTCCCAGGTTCGATTCCGGTCAAGGGCATGAGCCTTGGTTGTGGGCACATCCCCAGATAGATGTTTTTCTCTCTCATCAATGTTTCTAACTCTCTACCACTCTCCTTTCCTCTCTGTAAAAAATCAATAATATGTATATTTAAATGTCTTCTATTTCCATAAAGAACAATCAAAATTAGAGTTATTGGATGCGTTGGTTGATTGATCGTTGATGTGTTATGTGTGTGGTGACAAAGCACAGTCTGTCTGAGTGTGTTGTCTGTGGGGGTTGCAGGTACCCACTTGAGATACAAATCAGGTGACCCCACCTGTGGACAAAGAGCAGAGCTCGTTCATTCCCAGGTGAGCATCTTGGCTGAAAGAGGGGAGCATCCTAAGGCAGGAAGCACTTGTCCACATCACCACACCCTACTGCTTCCCAGTCAACAGCCACTTACAGCACATTCTAGCATTCTGGTTGTGGGGGAAAGAAGGAGAAATCTCCCATGTTTGCTCATTATCTCCTGGCTCTCCTGGGCCCCCAGGCCCTGGTAAACTGAGCCACAGTGCCTACACAGCACAGAGCAGAGCCATCTGTTTTCTTCAGTTGGAGAGGGAGGGAATGGGATGTTATGGCTGCTCTGAACAGTCTAATGTAGGAGCCACCGGTGGCAGGTTGTGGTAGCTGCAGGTGTCCTGCAATGGTGGGCCTATGTGATGTGGACATGTGCACCCAGAGAGAGGCCTTCCAACCGGGACAGCATTGATGGTGCCAGCTGCCAGGCCCATCCCTGAGTACCATGTCACATGGCTCATGGAGCTTGTTGTCCAGCTGCGCTGGACAGTGAGCTTATCTCCAGGAGCAAGGCCCAGAGCTGAAGTTCTCCCACTGCACCTATCAATGTCTACTAGTAACAAGCCACGGGCTCCAGGCATAGTGGTCAGTTTCTGAGTAATTTTCTACCATCTGTCTATCATTTATCTATCTTCTATCTATCATCTATCTATCTCCAATAAGAAGCTACTTGCCACCAACAACAATTTACTAAAGACAAAATTGAATAGTTCCTCTTCAGTAGGCCTTTCCCTGGATGTTCTCTCACTGCTAAGAGCTGCTGATGAAATGTGGAGAATTCAACAACTGAAAGCAGAAGTTCTTACTTTTCCTATAATTTGTTGAAAGCACTGTAAGTGTATTGGCCCTCACTCTTGGCGCCGATCAGGAGCTTTGGGTTGTTACGGGGTGGGTGAGAAAGGCGCCATGCTCCTGCACCCTGGTTCTCCATGGAGCAGGAGAGGGCAATGTGGTTGAGGACTGGCCCAGCAGTGGCCAGCAGTGCCAGTGGTGGGCAGTTCAGCGCTCCTGGCACTATGCTCAGCTCCCTGTGGCATCGCGTGGACTGGAAGTGCACACACCTGACCTGTAGGTGCCTGGATTTCCTGGTCTTGAAATCGAAATTTCTAATACTGATTCAACAGAGGAATAGTGAACTCCGTGAGACAGTCCAGGGCCATTGTTTGGGGAAGAATGGAATTCTGTTATTAATTCTGTATAATAACCTTCCAAGTGGAGACACACAGGGAGTGTTAATATTACCATATTCTGATGCCCATAATGAGGGGCATTGTGCTTTCCAGCTTTTCTGTTCTGTGCTTGGCCCTGCAGTGTGAGTGCAGACCATGATCCGGAGCCCCCTTTGGAGAACCCACAGGGCTGTGGGGGACAGGGGCTGTGGTGTTCTTCAAGCTAGGACTGAGGGAGGAAGCAAATGAAAGACATAAAATAGAGCAAAGCAGCTGAGTTTGTTGGAGAAAACATTTCAAAGTAAACAATCCTGGATTTAGATCACCCGTTTGGGGGCCTGGAGTGATATTTTCATACCCTCCTTCTGAAAAACGGGTGTTTGTAATGAAAATGCTGACAGCCCAACGGCCTCCAGGTCAGTGGTGTGTATAGCATCTGCCTGGCCTTGCGGAGGGGAAGCGTCAGAGCTCCCACTGCTGCAATTCAATGGAGCTTTGTCTTCTTAAAACATTTTAACTTAATCAAGATGTTAGCAGCGGCCTCCTTACTCTAGTAGTGACCCTGAGTGAGAGTCTCCATGGCTCCCGGTGAGGGAATCTCCCAACCCAGGCCTCCTGAGGCCAGACTCCACTGCGTGGGGCATGGCCCTTTCTGGCCTAGCCCAGCAGGCTCCAGCCCACATTTCCCTTCAGCTGAGGACATGGGCATGGCTCCTGCACAGGGTGAAGCCGACAGGACTTCTGCAAGGACCTGCCTGCAAGGACCTCCTGCCTTTAGGGATTTTCTTGCTGCATTTTTGCTCTCCCTGCTCCTGCCCAAACCCTGTGCTTCATCCCAGACTGCTCCTATCTGAACCCCATGCATCATTCCAGACTCTGCAGACCAGTAGTACCAGGCCTGCTCCACCAGGGCTCCCACCCCACATCCTTTCTGTCCGGAGAGGAGAAAACAGACCAGTGGCTCAAGTTCCCTCCTGTTTACCTTTGTGCTTCCCAGGGCAGGTCCCAGAAGCTAGCTGGCATTGACTGTTTCTTCAGCTACTTCTGAAAAGAGGAGGGAGAAAGAATAGAATTCCACAGATGTTTATCTAGCATGATTTATTTAACTATCTGTGCAGATGGGCCCAGCTCATTCTCACAGCGCATGTCCTTCCTGGCTACTCTGAGCCCATGGGAACGGCCACCTTTGCTTCAGTCCTGCAGTCTCTGCAAGTTCTCCCTCTGGCATGAACAGAGGTGGGGCCCAGTGCAGCCTCTGGGGAAGCAGCTCCGTTGTAGCCTCGGATGAAAAGCTTACTGCAGGTGGAAGAGCCAGCGGCACATTCTGGCTCCTAGATGATGAACTGACCTTTCATCTAACCAAGGCCCCGCTGGACCCCAACAGGAGAGAGCACCCCTCTCCCAGAGCCCCTCCAGACTCAGGCATTGCTTGACCATGGAGCCTGGAACCCTGGGGCTCAGGTACGCAGGCTATCAGGGACTAGAACCCATCCTGACTTCCTTGATAAGCTTCACCAGGATCAAACTCTCCCTGTAAAGACCTCGTGGGTGGGAAATCAAGGAAGGAGTTGTGCCCTTCGCCCTTGCAGAGTTGCTGGAAAGAATGCAGTTTTAACCTCTCATGAACCAGGTCAGGTCAACTCAGTATCAGGCTCCTGTTCGCCAGCCACATTTTCCTGCCACCTGCAGCCACCACTGGCTAGAAAGTGCCTTCTGGTCACATGCCTTGAAATCTCTTACCAGGGTGACGAGATTTGCAAGGCAGGCCTACAACCTGTTGCCATGGTGACTGGCAGATAATGACCAGGTGTTCCTTGCTTCTCTCTCTCTCTCTCTCTCTCTCTCTCTCTTTCTCTCTCTCTCTCTCTCTCTTTCTCTCTCTCTCTCTCTCTTTCTCTCTCTCTCTCTCTCATCCCTGAGAAATGGGCAGTCCAGGAACAGGGGGCTCCACTGGAGCAGATGTGGTAGACCCTTTTCAATAAACTCCTTAGATGGCACTCCAACCTTCACTGTGTGTTTGGCTGCACCTCTCGTACCTGATGCCCTGTTAGAAAGATCTGATCAGTCTGAACACAGTGTTCATTTCTAACTGTGAGTACAGGCTGGGTAAGCTCAGAAAGCTGGATGTGGCATGTGATCCTTATTTAATGAAGCCCCTTTCCCTCTCTCACTTAGCTCAATGACTCGGCCAAGCAGCTTATTGCAATGGACAAGTTCAGCCCAGCTGTTGTGTCTGACTGCCATGCCTCGTTACCCTCTGACCCCTGCGCAGTGGCCAGTGTGGCCCCAGGTGCCACTTTAAGCAACACAGGGGCAGTCAGTGCCTTTCAGCAGCGTGTGGACGGCAAGAAGAATGCTAAGAAACGTCACTCCTTCACCGCAGTCAGCCTGACACACAGGTCCTCGCAGGCTGCCAGCCACAGGCATTCCGTGGAAATCAGTGCTCCAGTGCTAATCAGCTCCAGCGACCCCCGGGCCACAGCCAGGATCCGGGACTTGGTGCATGTGTCCTGCAGTGCTCCCACCCAGGTAACATCCTCAGGGCGTGGATGGGGAGGCACTAGGCATCCTTTCTGGGTCTGGGGGCTCCATCCTCAGATCAGTGCTCAGCATCCATCCCCTGAACTAGCTTGGAGGAGGTCAAGGCAGCACCTTTCTCGCTGCCTGTTCTCAGGACCTCTAACCATGGTGGGTGTGTCTCCCTGTCACTACCAGGACAGATATGTGACTGGCACTCTCAGCTTTCAGTGAGGTGCTCTTCATGGTTTATGATACATAGCCTCTGAATAACATTATCCTGCTCAGTTTGCATTCAGTAGATCTGATGGTATGTGGATGATGTCTTGGTTTAGTTTTGGGTGTTTTTAGCATCTCTTTAACACTGGCCAACTCCTTTCTCTTTCAACAAAGTGTGGAAGGGCCAGATCTCAAAACCAGATTGAGCACTTTGTTTAGTACTTATATCATTACTAGAGGCCTGATGCACGAAAATCGTGCAAAAGTAGGCCTTCCTTCCCCTGACTGCCAGCACCAGCTGCCCTCTAGCACCTGGGACCTGGGCTTCCCTTTGGCCCCGTTTTCATCCAGAAGCACATCGGAATGATGTCTGGGATAACATCTGGTCTAATAAGCATATTACCCTTTTACTATTATAGACTCTTACAGATGCCTTCTATTTCTAGGCATGGCATTGGCTCTATTTCCACGAGTAAGATAAAGGGGCAGGGGGAGAATAAGGGAAGGGGGACCTTATTTTCAATTAACCAGACAGGGCTTCCAGGATTACTGGTCCATAGCTCACCACTCTCAATGTTTCCTGGGGGTTCTAAAAACGAGCAAGGAGGCCCATGGGTGCTAGCGGTCCAATGGCTCTGTAGTCTAGCTCTGCAGTCTGGCTCTACTTAGACAACTCCCAGAGCAGAAGGAAACAGATTTTTAAAAATCTGTTCCCACTTTGTTCCACTAGAATTAAATGCTCTATTTTAGAGGTGACTGGGACCCTGAGACCCATTTCCCATCCTTTTGACTTGAGGTGAAAGTTATAACCAGGCTCTGGATTTTAATGAAGGTCATTACAAAGGGCAAGAGGTCAAGAAAAGCAGGTTCACTGATCCTAATTTAGTGCCTGGGAGTTAGGATGAACTGCCCTGTGCTATTTCCCACAGCCCCAGTGTGCTGTCCGTGGTCAGGCTGCCCCAGAGACTAGCCCCTGGTTCTGCCACTGCTCCCACACTGCCTTTCTGGTTCTGGGTCGCTTCGTTGGTCTTGTGCATCACACTAGCCGACCTAGGGACATACCGTGCTGAACAACAGGTCCTGCTGTGGCTACCGCCTCATGGGTCCTCCTTCCCACCAGGCTGGATTTGCCCTGGGAGAGGGACCTAGTTCCGGAGTTCTGCATGTGGGGGTCAGAAGTGGGCTCTGTGGTCACGCATCTGGAAAATCCAGATTCTTCATTGCCTCCCATAGTGTGGAGCCTCCTGGCTGGCTTTCTGTCAGACACAGATGGCCTTCCTCAGCAAACAGGCCTCCACGTGCCAGGCTGGCATCATGGAGGTGGGCACCAGGCCAGCAGAGCTGGAGCACCCAGGCTCCTCTGTGCCCAGGGGGATGGGAGATTTTGGCTCCTGTGAGATGACAAGGCTCACCAGGAACTCAGACCAGCCCTGTCTGCTCCTGTGCAGCACGCCCAAGGCTTCCTGGCGACAAGGGGCAAAGGTTTTGAGAGAACTGGGTTGTGGGTTCCAGCAAGTTTTCTTCTGGAGTGCAAGGGTGGCTGTTGTTGGGTGGGCCATGCACTCCCAGTCAAGCTGATGTGCGAGGCCTAGGGAAGTGGCTCAGCTAAGTCTCCCTAAAGACCCTATGTGCCAGGCTTTTTTTCCATGGTGTTCAGTGTCAACTGTGTTTCTTTTGCTGCTATGACAAGGCAGGAACCACATCCACAGGTTTCTGTCATCCTGGCAGACAGGAGAAGAGTGCCATGGCCATGTACTGGCTGTATGAATGTGAACCATTCACCTAACTTCTCTGTGCCTCAGATCCTCATTTTATAAAATGCTGATTTTAAAAACCCCATTTTATAGGCTTATTTGAATATTAAATGCATTATTCCAGAAGAAATGCTGGTGAACTCTGGATGGGGGAATGGTCTTTATTATTTTTGCTGTAATTGTTCTTACCCAATACCTCCTATACATGCCAGACCTTTTCCATCCCCATGCCCTTGACCCAGACCTGACCTTCCTCATGCTTCCTGAGGTGGCCTCCCACCCCCTGCCCCTGTGAATCATGGGTCTGATTCTATCTCTGTCTTTCTCCTGCCAGCCTTCCAGGGCATCTCTGCCCTCAAGGGGAAGACCAGAACCCTCTCAGAAGGCCTCACATAGACTGGCTCTGGGCACGTTTCCTCACCACTCACTTTTCCTTGAGCTTGCTTTTGCCAGCCCTTGCTAGTCAGACTACTCTGCTCTTCCTTCACCATCTGACCCTCACCACCTCACCTAACAAGCCCACTCCCTGTTCACAGAAGCCCTCCCTCAGGTGAGGTCCCAGTTGTATATTCCTGTGGCCTTGCACTACTGGGACCCCCATGTCTATAATGACATATCCAGTGCTTGTCATCCCCCATGCAAGCCCACAATGGGCATAGAGGCTGTGTCTGTGCTCAAGCCAGTCCTGACAATCAGTGGTCAGCAGGCATCAATGAGGACCTAGATCATGCCTCATGTAGGCAGAACAACCCTACAACTCAACTGACTGTCACACTACTTTCTTGCTTATGTGCAGAGCTAAGGGGAAAGGGAACATTTCTCATCAGCTCACTGACCAGGTCTGACTTTGCTCAGCCTGCGAGTGGCACACGGGGTGCTCCCAGGCCGAGGCTGTCAGCATGGAGCCACCTGCCCGTATCTGAGTGAGAGAGTGAAGTGCCCTGACATCCTGCCAACACCTTTCTCCAGGGACCATCCAAGAAGGGACAGCTGTGGGGAAACCAGCACCAGAGGTGCTTTCCATACCCTAGGGGAGGTAAGGGCCTGGAACCAGGTGCCCACCCCAGCCTGCAGCCCGTGGAGAAGGTCCCTGGCCAGCTGTGGTGAACTCCTCCAGCATCTTGAAGAAAAACATTTCCAAGCTTTGATGGTGAATGCCTTCTGATCTGTCCCCCCTCCTAGGCTCAGCAGAGGAGTGTCCCCCACCTTTAGCCCATTCTCACACAGCACCCCAGGAAGCAGTGTCTTGCATCAGCAACAGGGATGGATGGGGAGGGGCTGCCTCTAGAAGCAGTCTCTCGCAGGTGCTGGAGCGGGAAGTCCCTTGAAACTTCACAGTGTCTTAGAGAAATGAGGGAAGTTATGCTTCTGTGTTGCATGCTCTCATTCCAGCAGGCATTTTGTTGTTTAAACAAGAAGAAATAGAATTTCTAACTTCTTAGAATAAAGAAATAGAATTTCTAACTTCCTAGAGGTGGTGGACATGCTGTGGTTTCTGGCACCTTTCATGATCCCTGGTGGAGGAGGGAAGTCTGCCTCCCAGGATGGATTAAAAGGTTGCCTTAGCACATGTAGCTCATTAGCTAAGCAAGGGCAGAACTGATTAGTGAATTGAGTTCTATTAGTTCCCTGGGGCGGCTGTAAAAGTACCACAAACTGGGTGGCTTAAAGCAACAGTTCTGGAAGCCAGAAGTCCAAAACCAAGGTATTGGTAGACAGGACTGGCTGCTTCTGGAGGCTGAGGGAGAATCCATCCCAGACCTCTCTCCCAGTGTCTGGTGGCTTCCAGCAGTACTTGGTGTTCCTGAGCTTATATATGCATCTCTCCAGTCTCTGCCTCATTCTTCAAATGGCTTTCCTCCCTCTCTCTGTTCTCCTTTTCTCTTTTTCTCATGAGGACACTTGTTTTTTTGTTGTTGTTTGTTTGTTTGTTTGTTTTAATATATTTTATTGATTTTTCACAGAGAGGAAGGGAGAGAGATAGAGAGCCAGAAACGTCGATGAGAGAGAAACATCAACCAGCCGCCTCCTGCACATCCCCCGCCGGGGATGTGCCCGCAGCCAACGTACATGCCCCTGACCGGAATCAAACCCAGGACCTTTCAGTCTGCAGACCGACGCTCTAGCACTGAGCCAAACAGGCTTCGGCATGAGGGCACTTGTTATTGGATTTAGGGCCCACTCTAATCGAGGGTAATCTCATTTTAGGATCCTTATCCATATCTACAAAAACCTTTATTCCAATAAGGCCACCTTCACAGCCTCCAAGAGTATATGGACATATCTTTTGGGGGACCCAATTCAGTTCATTGTGGCACCTGAACAGGAAGACAAGGTGCTGCCCTAAGGATGACTGAGTTGGGTAGTGAGGAGATGGGGGTCAATGTTGTCTCTCATGGGCTGAGTCTAAGGATCTCTGTGTAGGAATCACCTCAGCAAGATTATGCACAGCCCAGATATGTCTGCACAGCCCACTTCCCTAAGCCAGCTTAACACGCACCTGATTGTAAGGAACCATCTGGAAGCAGAAGTCCCTCCAGTCATCTCCTTGCACCATAAATCCTAAAGCTTTGAGTCCATCAGGGCTGAGGTGGGAGATGCTAGGCTCTGTCAGTCCTGTTGCCCTATAGCCTGCCCTCTGTCCACAGCCAAAGGACCAGCTTTCTGTAGAGATTAATCTTCAGCTTCTGGGAATGCATTTTTTCAATGAGCCCAGGCTTTATAACATGAAAGGTTTTATCTGGATGTTCTTTTTACAAACACAAGAATAATTCATTCAATCTCTAAGAATAAAGATGAGCTTCCCAAAATTGCCTTCGTCTATATTCAGCATAGAGTGTTGATGATGGACCCAGACGCAGCCCCAGAGAGGGGTTCTGAGCAGCTGCTCCAGAAGGGCTCTGGAAAGCTGCTGTGGGCCCATCATTGGGCACCAAGCTCTTTCCAGTTAGTCATTAACAACCCAGGCAAGTAGACCCCAAGGAGAGGACAGATGCTTCATGACGCCGTGCGACGTTGTCTTTCTCTTCCCTGGACAGAGCCACCTGTCAGCTCACTCTCTTCTTATCTGTTTACAGGACTCCTCTTCTGGATCCAGCCCAGCAGCTGAACAGCAGGACATGGCTCCCAAAGGGCAGCTGCCTCTCAATGTGTGAGCTACTGTTTATGTTTTGGGGTCCCATGCTTTCATCATCTCCATCTCACCCTGCTACCATGGAAATTTATGGTTTCTATAGGGGTCTCATTTGTTACTAGTTGGTTATTTTATTTTAAAAATATTTTAATTGATTTTAGAGAGAGGTGGAGGGAGAGAGATAGAGAGATAGAAATATCAGTGAGAGAGAAATATTCATCAGCTGCCTCCTGCACGCCCTTTACTGGGGATCGAGCCTACAACCCGGGCATGTACCCTGACCAGGAATCAAACTGTGACCTCCTGGTTCATGGGTCAACACTCAACCACTAAGCCACACTGGCTGTCCACTAGTTGGTCAGTTTAATTATGTACATCTAATAATACTGCTGACAGGAAAGTGCAGAAAACTCTAGCAGGTTTTAAAATGTTATTGTCCCCAGGACATTTATTATCAGCAGAGGGCATAATCAAAATATTTGATCATACAGGCACTGGCCAATCAGGAGAGGATCAACCATAGCAAAGAGAACACCTTATAGGCCCCTGAGAAGGTGTGGGCTGTAAGCCAGAGTGGGAGGATGCTGGTGCAGTGGGGGGTCATGGAGTCTTCATGGTGGCTAGTTACTAACTGCTCAGAGTAGCTCAGCATCTTAGTAGCAGTAACTGCCATGCCCATGCACAGCAGCTGTGTGTCACAACCAAATACACCCCATTGAGCCGCTGCTAGAAGTGACATGCTTGTCTTTCTTAGAACCTACTCTTATTCAATTACATTTCTTAAAAGATACGTGCAGTATAAAATTCCCCACTTAAATACTGTTCTAAAGAATTAGACTGCCTTCTGTTCTTTTGTTTGCAATGAGCCAGTTACCTGAATGGATGTTCTAAGGTGGAGAATAAGAATTTGGTCAATAATTGGGAAAGGGAAAGTTTCACAGATACTATGCAGTGAGAAGGACACTTGGAATATGTGTTGGTGCAGAACAGAATGTATTTCAAGCAAAATGCCTCTTGAAAAAGCAACTAGCCAAGCTCCAGAAGGTTCCCTAGAAGTAGCTTAAATGCCCTGGTACATGCTTCCCTGCCTCCCTAAGTCTAGTGGAAATATTTGCCTTACCTGGAGACAGGTAGGAAATCATGAACATCCTCCCTTTATTTGCCCACAATGCTGTGAGTAGGTTATTATCATTCAGGTAAACAAAAGGAAATTGAGGCTTACCTACATTTAACCTAGCTTCCTGAGGGGAGCATAGATTAGTACACTACCTTCTAGATGTCTTTAGGCTGAAACTCACATTTTTTCACCAACACTGGACAGAAGGTGCTGTCTTCTTGAATGGTTCTCCTGTAAGCTCCAATGGCTTCCACTCAGAGCTGGGCCGAGGAGGCTTGTGGGAAGGATGGTGGTGATGGTTGTTCTTCTAGCACTGGATTTCCTTTCCCTGAGAAAACAGCTCTCCATCCACAGGAGAGCCTTGGGCCCTAGTGGACTTCCCCAAATGAGAGGCAGGACACTGTAAACTCTTCCAGGACAAGGCCCAGGTGTTCCACTTTTGGGTCTCACAATGAATACCCAGTACACAGGCTTTCAACAGGTGTTTCCTTGTTCCATGAGAGCCACAGCCTCACCCCTACTGGGTGCAGAGGATTCCTGGTGTTGGCCCAAAGTCCCCAACTCTGCAGGTCAAGTCGCATGCTCTGAAATTTGAGCCCACATAATTGAAAGGCCTGATCGCTCAGCCACCCAAGAAGGCTGCTCTGTCTTTGAGACCCAAAAGGTAGCACAGTTCCAAGAAGGTCACTCCCGGGTGTTGTGGGTACATTTTGGAGGGCCCACTATGCACAGACCTCTCATACCATGAAAGCTTTTTAATTTTGTGTGGAGATGAAAAGTCCTCTTTTCCCACACCATCTGCCATTGAGGACCCCATCCCTCTGCTCTCTCCTTCTCTGTCTCTTCCCAGAGCACAGCTGTCCGTGTTTGGGTTGATTTTCATTTGGGTAACAGAAAGAAGACTTCCATATCAAATACTGTCCTTGAAAGAATATAAGCATTTTGGCGGAGATGTGTCTGCTAGTCACAGTGGTCATCTGAGTAGCAGAGGAACCATGGCCAGCAATGCTTGAGTCTGGTTCATTGTGTGCTTCGCATGGCTTTTTGTACCGAGTCCCAAGCACCATAGCAAGTAATATCATACATTACAAGGCTATGCACAATCAACTTTGAGAACATGACCTTTGAAATTAGTTTTTATTTTTTTATTAGGGAGAAAACAATTCAATGACCTCATCAATTTGTCAGATTAACCTGATCACTCATATATTTTTTTTAGCTTTAAGAAGTTAGCAGTTCATGTATCCCAGTGGTAGGCATGTAGGGTGGGAATGTGGTTGCTCTCTGTCTGTCTGTCCTTAGCAGTAGTCATGTTCAAAGGTGGTCTGAGAAGGCAGCCTGCATAGAGACAAGGGTAGCAGAGATCGTGCTGCTGTGAGCCAGGGGTCTGTGACAGGCTCCAGCCAGGCTATCAGAAGGTCTGTGACAGAATGACTCCAGCCATCCTCATCCTTGTGGGGTTTGCCTTCTGCAGGTCAAGTCGCATGCTCTGAAATTTGAGCCCACATAATTGAAAGGCCTGATTGCTCAGGTCAGCCAATGGTCAAAGGGTGTTCTTACCCACTGCTAGCATATAAAAGTCCCCATGGTCACTGATTCCCTAAGGCTTTGGTTGTCTTGAAACACAAAGGCAGATCTCAATTTGCTCACCCGGTGCAGGAGGTGGCTGCTCATCTCTCCCATGACACACAGTCAGGCCTACAGGAGCCCACACCCTCCCTTCTCACTGCCTTGTACTGGGTGGCCACCCAAAGTTCACTCCCTGGCCCAGGCTTGTCTGCTCTTCATCTGCCTGCCTTGCAGGGCTTCCTGGGGCATAAATGTCTGGTTCTAGAAGCCACACAGCCCTTGTAAATAGGACACTGCTTGGGCTGGGAGTGAATCCTACCTCCACTTCTCCGTGGATTTCTCAGAGCCAGGTGAGGGAGTGAAGGACCTGTGGGGACAGGAAGAGGTTGCCAAGCTGCCTTCTAATGTTTACACAGCCCCCATGTTCTGTGATGTCGGGAACCATGCCTCACACGGGACAGGATTGCTTCTACCCTGATCTGTAACACAGGGCTGGCTCTGCACCTTGGGCTGCAGTGGGCTTGACCAGTCTGAGCTCAGTACATTAAGACCCAGCAACGTAAGTCCCTGCTGAGGCTGTGGTGAGGCACCAGGGGGGTGAGGCCACACCCTAGCCTCTGACAGCACCCAGCCTTGTGGGAAGCTCCTGCAGCAGCACGGAACCTGCCCTTCTGCACCCTGTCATGCTGATCACCTTCAGAGAGAGAGCAGAACTGGCCCCGGCCCAGAGGGAATAGAGAAGAATGCACAGGGGAAGGGCAAAAAGTCACCCTGAACAGAGTGGGAGCCTGGTGGGCAGAGTGTGGACACTTGTGAAGATGCCAGCAGGGCCAACTGACAGAAAGCCAGCCTTGGGGCCTGTAGTCGGGTTTCCTGCTCACATGGAGGACTGCCCTGCATTGGGGGAGGACTACCGCTGGGAGTCAGGCCTGTGAGGGAGCAAGCACTGAGCTGTGGTTGGGGAAGCCCAGCTGATCCTCAGGGGAATCTGGAGCCCAGATGGCACCTCAGCTTCTCCAACCCAGAGAGCCCTGTGGACTTCAGGCAACCCTTGGGAGGGGCAACGTCTAGTGAATCTGTGTCCTGCAGGGAACTGCCTCACAGTTCTGTCAGCTCACACTAACCATTCTTCAAACCCCAAGCAGCAAAGCACTTGCAGCATTTCCCAGTCCTCACAGTACCCTGTGAGACTGGGGTCAGGTCATTAGTTATGTTACAGAAGGGGCTTGCCGTGGCTCTTGGCAGCTTAGAGGCCCACTTTCTGGGCCCTAAGTGGGAATTTCCACCACTAAGTTTGTTCTTTCCTTGTCTTCAAATAAGCTTTTTTTTTTTTTTTTTTTTTTTTTTGTGAGATTTAAGTAATTAGTTGTGGTACAAATATTGTAAGGAAGAATGCAACCAAGAATTCTCTACCCAGGGCCTTGAGGCCGGGCCGGAGACTAAATGAGGAAAGCCCATTCCAGCTTTTTCTCATGCTCCCTGTGTTTCCTAAGGTTTCTCTTGCCCAGAGCATCAAGTTATAGACAGTGTAGAAAATAGTAAATAAACAAACAAAAACGGGGTGGGGGGGGGGGACTACAATCTCGCCCCAGATCTGCTTCTGACACCCCAGGGCCTCTCACGGCTCAAGGAGCCTCCCTGAGCTGTCAGGCAGAAGGTGTTCCTGGCTGCACACTCGCTTGGGTGGGCACAGGGCTGGGCATGACCATGGACTCTAGGATCACGGGCAGAACTCTGCCCCTTCCCTGGCAGTGCCTCCCTGAACCTGGCAGTTTTAGGAATGCCCCTCCCCCAGCCCCTCATTGCTTTCCTGGGTAAAGCAGGTCACATGCCGTGTGTGCCAATCCCCAGAGGCATCAGCTGCTCTTAGGTTGGTTGGGTTCACCCACAGAAAAGCTCACATGTGACTCAGGGGACACAGTGGCCCTGTGCCCATCCTGCCTGCCACTGCTGACCCTGGCCCTGATTCTTCTGCCTGCAGGTACCTGGCGCTCTACACCTACAAGCCCCAGAAGAGTGATGAGCTGGAGCTGCGCAAAGGCGAGATGTACTATGTCCTGGAGAAGTGTCAGGACGGCTGGTTCAAAGGCACATCCCTGAGGTCTGGGCTCTCTGGGGTGTTCCCAGGAAACTATGTGACTCCTGCTTCCAGGTGAGATTGTAGCCGCTGCCTGGGAGAGGAGGGAAGATCCCCCTCCCATTTCCCTACAGCTGTCACTACTGGGCCACCCAAAAACAGTTCAGAAGGCAGCCAGGAAGCCCCTGCCTGTGGGGTTCAGCCGTGTGAGCTCCGAGTCCCCTTGAACAAGGGTTCTAGGTAGCAAGCATTTCATCTTCTGAATTAGGTTTGCTTGTCTTTCTACTTTCCTGGAGCAGACACTGGCTGCTTAGGGAGAAGGTGGGAACAGAATGAGCTCCAGTCAGGGCAGTAGCAGTAAGTGGGGGCAGAGTCACCAAGGAGGGCAAGATCTCACAGGTGTGGGTGTGGGTGTGTGTGTGGGTGTGGGTGTGAGGCAGGATGGGGGGGACTGTGCACAGTGAGAGTACAGCAGCACATGTGCAATCACATAGACCTGTTCTACATGAAACACACACACATGCATATGTGCAAAGTTATGTACTGCCCAAAGTCAGCAATTGTTATTAACTGGTAGCATTATAGAGAAAAGTTTTTCTTCCTTGTGCTTTCCTGTGTCTTACAAAATGCCTGTTATATTATTTTTTTTAAAGCAGCAATTTTAAAAATTCAATGAAAATGTTATCCATAGTTGTCTGAGAACTTCCCATTGAGATGAGGGCACTGCTTGATCTTCAGTCCATCTCACTCAGGGAAGCCCTTTACGGATTCAGAGCTGTGTCAACATCCAGAGCACACAGAAAACTGGAGACATGGCCCTCGGGGCTATACCCTCTTTGAAACATGACTGCTGTGGGAAAAATCAAACAGTGCTTACACATTGCCTTGGTGCTAGATATCCACACTTCCAAGTGCCCGAGGGGCAGTGCCAGCCTGGAGGCAGGCTCGCGCCTCTTGTCATTCCTAGGAAGGCTCATAACTTGCAAGCCTACTTGATTTAAATTTTCCGAGGGAAAAAGTTAGTTCAGCAAGTAGCAGATGCTATTTTTAAATGTCATGGTTTTGGCTGGCCAGCTGACGGGTTCATGCTGGAAGTGAATCTCAAGGCAGCCCTGTGGGCTACTGAGGGAAAGTGCTGCCCAACCCCTGGACAGGTGGGTCCTTCCCTGGGAGGCTTTTTCCACAGCTGCTCTGCAGCTACCTGCCTCAATGACCATTTGAAGTCAGATCCAATGGAGAGGGGCCTCTGACCTGGCCCGGAGCTACACCTGGCAAAGCCTGTTCTCTCCCAGTGTGGCTTCTGGTGTCTCATGACTGAGATCCCAAGAGGACAAAGGGGAGTTTACTGAGCTCTTGGACAAATGGAAGACATTCCAGTCCCCTCATGCTAAACACCTTACAAAGCCTGCCTCCGCTGTATTCTGCACCCCATGGCACAAATGTGCAAGTGTGAACAGCCCATCTCCCAAGTTGCTGTTTTCCATTTGTTTTTCTTAAACACTCTACACTGGTTTCATCAGGAAATCATGGGCTGAAAGGGCATTTATTTTCTGGTAAGAAGCTTCAAGTTCCTTGACATCTCTCAGCGGGACATGGTCTATTGGTACCCTTCCCAGAGCCGGCAGAGCAAGGCAGTGGCTGTGTCCAGAGGGAATAGGTCCTGCCACTGTTTCCCACCAGGTCCAGATGTGTCCAAGCCTCATGTGACTGACCCATCGCTCCTTCTGGAGGTGTTTGGGGGCACACAGCTGTTTGTTAGAATGAGTCAAAACAGTAGCTCTGGTACAAAATATTTTATGGATTGGAATAAGGCCTCTGTTTTTCAGGGTTCTTTTGCTATTTCTTGAATATTCATGCTGAGGGTTAGCCCCCATGAAGATTTACAGAGGGTGCCCTCTCAGCTGGAGCTCCGGGCATTGTTTGCCTACAGGGTTATCTTGGCTTTGTTTTAGGGTACTCTCCTGGACTGCTTGGCTTTCATCTCAGAAAGGCCAGTGTGTAAGAGCAGGTCTTTATCAATGGCCCAGGTGGGGTGGTTTTGTCCTCACTGTCACTGAATTCATTCTCTTTGTTTCCTCAGGGCTCCCTTAGGAGGGGCTGGGCCACCTGGAAATAATGTGGTTGGAGGGTCTCCACTGGCCAAAGGGATGGCCACAAGCATCCATCCACGCAGTGGGAGTATGAGCAGCCCTGCCACGGCCCTGAGAGCAGCCCTCCCCCTCACCACACCCCAGGCCCAGCACCAGGCAGCCTCTCTCCCAGTGGGCAGTTGTCTGTGGCACTCAGCATCCCCAGCGGCTAGCCAGGCCCGGAGCACTGTCCCCACAGGTATGTACTAGTTTTTTTGGGACCTCACTATCTGGAAAATTTGTTAAGGGGCTGGGGTCTCAAGTACTCAAATCGTAGAAACAGTTTGGCCCAGGTCTCAATCAGTTCCCAGAGGGAATGGCTTGTAATCATTGACCACTGCTGATCTCCAGGAGATATGATTACTCTGTCCTGGAAACTGAAACTGATGAGCAATTTATATATTTGGCTTCAGCAGGAGGACTGAGTGCACTAATAAGATTAACAGGTGCTTTGGGACTCTGCCCGTGAGGCTGTGAGGCTGTGGGCTGCCTCTCAGTCTCAGGCCTTCCATGTGCCGGGCACTGGAGGGTTTGCAGCTGGGCAGTACTCCCACACAGGCTGGTTGAGACACAGACAGTGTCACTGTCTGAGATGCTCTGAGCCAGGAGGGGCGGTCAGACCCTTCATCTTCATGCCAGCATTATCAATAGACAGGCTGACTAAATTTAAGGAAAAACTGGTTTGCTCCATTCTGGTGTGAAGTGAAGAGAAATATGGGTGGATCTCATAAGCATGAAGAAGGCAAGCATGGCTTGTTTGGAAGCTTATTACTTAGCTAAGAAGTCGGCCAGAGCGTGACTCCCATGACACTCCCAGGAGCCTGCACCGGCACCCTCGGAAGCCACAGAGCCAGCAGCATTGTCACACTGCAGTGACCAGAGCCCAGAGCAGAAGGATGTGCCTCTGAATTTCATTTATATGACACAGAATTCCCTTTCCCACCCCAACCTTATTCTCTCAGAAATCACCCCGTTCTTCTCAAAGTAAAACCTAAAGGACAAAGCATGTGGGCTCTTTGGAACACTACTTTTTTAGGATCTACTTAATCAGGAGAAGGCCATTGGGTTGTTTCATAAAGCAGCCTCCTGAGGGTGAGAAGATGAAATAATACTTAGCACAGATGAGCCATATTTTCCCCTGAGGCATGGCTGATGGGACAAGAGGGTGGGAGGTAAGTGTCCCGTCACCACTCCACCCTGTTACTCCCACGACCATGCTGATGCCAAGCTGGGCTCACAGACGGCAAAAGGAACCCCTAAATGTGATATGGACCAGCTACAGTCAGCGTGTCCACTGACAAAGCTGGTCTGGGCATGCAGGCTGGTGGCCAGCGAGCAGTGTTAGTGTGGCCAGGCGGGCTCTGTCTGTGTGAGGAGGCTCTGTTGGGGGCACCTGCGATGGGGCAGGGAGAGTGGGAAATACTTCTCTGAAGAGTGTATCCCAGAATGAGCAGCAGAGTAACACTCAGGTGGGAACAGAGAAGGGTGCCATCTGGAGCAGGAGGAAAGTTACATCAAATAGAAGTGGGAGAAAGCAGTCTTCTTCAACTAGCAGCAAGAAATTCAGTGAAGACTGAGTCTGGCCGCCCTTTGCTCAGAGCTGCTCCCGTGTTGTATTTTGCACCTTTAAATCAACGCAAGAAAAGGAACACCACATAACCAGACATCCTGAAAAGAGATACCATGGGAAGACAAAAAAATACCCCGCACATGAAAGAAAAGCAAGCATCACCAGAAAAGGAAGTAAACGAGTCAGAGGCAAGCAGCCTACCAGACCAAGAGTTCAGAATAATGATCACAGAATGCCTAAAAAGAATGGAAGAGAAATTTGACAATAACCAAGAAGAAATGAGGAAGAACCATGAGGAATTGAAGAAGAGCCATGAGGAATTGAAGAAGAAGCAAGAAGAAATGAAAAATGACATCGCTACCATGAAGAATTCAATAGAAAGCATCAAGAGTAGACTAGATGAAGCGGAGGACCACATCAGTGAGCTAGAAGACAAGATGGAAAAAAATACCCAATTAGAGCAGCTTTTAGAAAAAAAGATTAAAAAACAGGAGGAGAGTTTACGGGAGCTTTGGGACAATACAAAACAAAATAATATTCAAATAATAGGGGTTCCAGAAGGAAAGGAAACTGAGGTAGACATGGAAAAAGTATTTCAAGAAATAATGACAGAAAACTTTCCTGAGATAGAGAAGAAAAAACCAACACAAATCCCAAGCAAAATTAATCCCAGAAGACAGACGCCAAGGCACATTATAATAAAAGTGGCAAACAACAATGACAAAGTAAGAATCTTAAAAGCAGCCAGAGAGAGACAGAAAGTTACATACAAAGGAACCCCCAAGACTAGCAACTGATTTCTCAACAGAAATATATCAGGCCAGAAGGGAATGAGATGAAATATACAAAGTCTTGCAAAGGAAGGGTCTGAATCCAAGAATACTGTACCCAGCAAGGCTATCGATCAAAATTGAAGGGGAAATCAGGAGCTTCACAGACAAAAAAAAGACTGAAGGAATTTATCTCCACCAAACCAGCAATGCAAGAAATGCTAAAGGGTCTACTGTAAAAATAAAGAAATAGGAAGTGAAGAAGGAACATGGGTATAGAATAAAAATGGCATCAAATGAGTACCTATCAATAATAACCTTACATGTAAATGGATTAAATGCTCCAATCAAAAGACATAGGGTGTCAGACTGGATAAGAAAACAAGACCCATACATCTGTTGTCTATAAGAAATCCACCTCAGAAAAAAAGATGCACACAGACTGAGGGTGAAGGGATGGAAAAAAGTTTTCCAGGCAAATGGAAATGAAAAAAAAGCTGGGGTAGCAATACTTATATCTGACAAATTAGATCTCAGAGTGAAGGACATAACAAGAGATAATGAATGCCACTTCATAATACTAAAGGGAACAATCCAACAAGAAGAAATAACCCTGGTAAATATATATGAACCCAATACAGGAGCACCCAAATACGTAAAAAAAAAACTGCTGGAGGACATTAAGGGAGAGATTAATAGCAATACAATCATAGTAGGAGATTTTAATACCCCACTGTCACCCTTCGACAAATCATCAAAACAAAAAATCAGCAAAGAAATATCAATCCTAAATGACTCACTAGACCAGATGGAATTAATTGACATCTTCAGAACATTCTACCCCAAAGCCACAGAATATACATTCTTCTCAAGTGCACATGGGACATTCTCAAAGATAGACCACATTTTGAGACATAGGCAAAGTCTTTTCAAATTCAAGAAGATAGAAATCATATCAAGCATCTTCTCAGATCATAATGCCATAAAACTGGAAATTAACTACAATAAAAATAATCCAAAGAAATCAAACACATGGAGACTAAACAACATGTTATTAAACAAGGACTGGGTTACCAGAGAAATCAAGGAAGAAATTAAAAACATCCTGGCAACAAATGACAATAAAAACACAACAATCCAAAATCTATGGGACACAGCAAAAGCAGTCTTGAGAGGGAAGTTCATATCCTTACAAGCCTATTGAAAAAAAATAGAAAAAATGGTAACAGATGATCTAACTCTACAACTCAAAGAGTTAGCAAAAGAGCAACAAGAAAAGCCCAGTGTAAGCAGAAGGAAGGAAATAACAAAAATCAGAGCACAGATAAATGACATAGAGACCAAAAAAACAATATATAAGATCAACAAAACCAAGAGCTGGTTCTTTGAAAGAATAAACAAGATAGATGGCCCTCTAGCCAGGCTAACCAAGAAACAAAGAAAGAGGACCCAAATAAACAAAATCAGAAATGAAAGAGGTGAAATAACAACAGACCCCACCGAAATACAACAGATTGTTACAAAATACTACGAACAACTCTATTCCAACAAACTGAACAACCTGGAGGAAATGGACATATTCCTAGAAAAATACAAACTGCCAAAACTCAATCAGGAAGAATCTAAAAATCTCAATAGACCAATGACGTGGGAAGAAATTGAAACAGTCATCCAAAAACTTCCAGCAAACAAAAGCCCAGGGCCAGATGGCTTCACAGGAGAGTTTTACCAAACATTCAAGGAAGAACTAAAACCTATCCTCCTCAGACTATTCCAAAAAATCCAAGACGAAGGAACACTTCCAAACTCCTTCTATGAAGCCAGCATCACCCTAATACCAAAACCAGATAAAGACAACTCAATGAAAGAGAATTACAGGCCAATATCGCTCATGAACATAGATGCCAAAATCCTCAACAAAATTCTAGCAAATCGACTCCAGAAGAACATCACAAAGATAATACACCATGACTAAGTAGGATTTATTCCAGGAATGCAAGGATGGTACAATATCAACAAATCAACAAACGTGATACATCGCATTAACAAATTGAAAGATAAAAATCATATAGTCATATCAATTGATGCAGAAAAAGCATTTGATAAAATCCAACAGCCTTTCCTGATAAAAACTCTTAACAAGGTGGGAGTACAAGGATCATACCTCAACATAATAGAAGCTATATATGATAAACCCACAGCCAACATTATACTCAATGGGCAAAAACTAAAACCATTCCCTCTAAGAACAGGAACAAGGCAGGGAAGCCCTCTCTCGCCATTCCTGTTTGACATAGTACTGGAAGTACTAGCCATTGCAATTAGACAAGAGGAGGAAATAAAATGCATCCAAATTAGAAAAGAAGAAGTAAAGTTATCCTTATTTGCAGATGACATGATATTGTACATAAAAAACCCAAAAGACTCCATTAAAAAACTAATTGACTTAATAAATGAATTTGGCAATGTAGCAGGATACAAAATTAATGCCAAGAAATCCATGGCATTTCTATACACCAACAGTGAAACTACAGAAACAGGCTAAAAAAGCAATTCTATTTACCATAGCACCAAAAAAATTAAGATACCTAGGAATAAATTTAACAAAGGAAGTAAAGGATCTATTTGCGGAAAACTACAAGACACTGAAAAAAGAGATAGAGGAAGATGTAAGGAGATGGAAGAACATACCATGTTTATGGATTGGTAGAATCAACATCATCAAAATGTCCATACTTCCTAAAGCAATGTATAGGTTCAATGCACTCCCCATTAAAATACCAACGACATATTTCATTGACATAGAAAGAACTCTCCAAAAGTTCATTTGGAACAATAAAAGACCCGGAATAGCCACAG